TGAAAACTGCTCGGAAAGTAATTGAAGAAACACTGTGACTTTTGAAACCCATAGAGATAACACTCACACCTTCTTACTCACGTTATTTAATTTTTAATGGCAGATTTAATTAATGGAGATCAGGTCTTCTGCTTTCAGATGCAGAGCAGCTGGAGGAGGTGGGGGGAGGGACAGCTGTTTATAGGGCAAAGAAAGAGTCTTTTCAAAATTAGGAACCCAAAGTATCTAATACAAAAAAAGTCACCCAGAAATAATAATTCATGATCCTTGGGTGCTAATTAATGTGTGCAGACTCAGTAGAATGCACTTCAGGAAGATTTCCCAGCAATTTAGAAATAGGTAACCAGGCACTTTCATTGCCACAAGCATCATGCTCCAGTACTGACAGCCTAGCTCTGGACTCATCCTAGAACTGGACTCATCATTCAGAGAGCTTCCAGGATGCTTTTTAAGATAAAAACCTAAGGTGGGTGTTTGGGCTTGCTGTTAACATACTGGTTAGATTAGACACCTGCGTCACATTTCCACATACCTAGCTTTGACATCAGACTCCATATCTTACTCCATTTTCCTGTGGATATACACCTGAGCAGGCAACAACAATGGCCTGAGTGGGGTTGCATCTCTGGTGCTCACACAGGAAAACTGATGGACTTCCTGCCTCTTGGCTTTGGGGCTGTTAGAAGCAGTTGGAGAGTGGCCCAGTGGAAGGAGCTCTGTCTGTCTTTCTCTCTCTTCTGTCTCTCAAACAAATAAATAAAGTAAAACACAGATCTACCCTGCAGTCCCCTTGCTTAGAAATGAAAAGCCAGGAGTAGAACTGGTGCTCCTCTCTCTGGCTCTTTCCATGACCTTGTCCTTGCACAGTAGCAGCTGCAGCTCTTGGCTTCCTCCGCCATGTGCGTCCCTCAGGCTGCTTCAGGCTGCTGCCTCTGGTCAGAAGGCCTTCTTCTCATCAGATTCATTCCTGGTCATCTTTCAAAATCCATCAAAATTATAATACCCTTTGATCCAGGAATTTGACTTCTGCAAAGTTCCAGTTGCCAAGATGTACCTCTCAGTGTTTTTTTTTTTTTTTTTTATCATAGCATGACACCAAGAACAGCCTAGTGTACAAGGATGGAGAGCTGTGGGAGTGAGTCACAGGGTGTTTTTATTTGTACAGTGGAACACCATGGGGTGAGAAATGGATGAGGCCGCTGAAGAGCCCGTGCAGAGATGAGAGACAGGACACTGCGTCTGCTGTGGGTCAGGAGCAAGGGGCACATGTGTGTGCACTCACACATATACTAGCAGGTCCACAGCTCTGCCCATGAGGCACACAGAGGAGAGGGCCAGACTGACTGAGAGGCTCACTGTTCACCTATTCTTCTGTTCTTTTCCTGTTTTTCTTTTTTTTTAAATCCGATGTATGAAACTATTAATTTTTTTAAAGACTATTGTGCAAAAAAAAATAGTCCTTGGTACAGGTACCAACACCCAAGAAGCCACAAACGCTGCCAGGCTGTCCTTGTAAGTGTCCCCAGCACTGGAGATGACTCCTGGGTGTCTGTTGTCACTGTGCTATCATGTCACAGGAGAGCTCCATGAGGCCATGAGGCAGGCTGCATTGCTCTTGGCATCTCCTGGCATTCAGCAAGCTCTCAGTGTGAACGCTGATAGTGTCAGCTCCTCCTAGAAAACCCTTGGTGGTGGATTTACTGAGGAGTGTTCAGAGTACCCTCTTCCCTGGTTCTGTTCCAGCAGCTTCAGGAAGGTCTGGTGGCTGAGTGGGTTTGTGAGTGCAGGAAGCTGGCTCGGCACTCCCCCATTGTGGCCTGGAGACCTTCATATGCCAAGGGAGCTGTGGTCATGGCGACGTTCTGTCTTGGCAGGTCTGTGCGGGCAGATTAGACAGAGGGTGGGACCATCAGGATGGGCCCAGAATTTCACTGAGTCATTCTGAGAAACAATAGAGGAAGCTGCAGTGGAGTAATTGCAACCACTGCTTGGCCTGTGGGCACTTCCTGTGACAAATCTAGCTGACCACATACATGTGTGTTCTAAGCCCAAGTTCAGCAGGAGCCAGGCTATGTTTGATGGTGTGCGACCCAAAGCAAAGGTTCTCAGGGTGCCTCCCTGTGACCTGCAGCATGCCAGGCCCATATGGGCAACCAAACCTCTCAGAAGGGATATTAACAGATGACTACACCTGTGAAACTGTGACCTGGCACCAAGGAGTCCTCTGTGTATGGCTACAGAGAGATAAATTCATCCCAAAGTGAAAGCCTGAACCATGTGGTTGTCTTACAGAAAAAGAAGCAGACCAGGATCAGTGTGGAGAGCTTAGGATAAGGTACATTTTAGCTTCAGAAATCTCAACGATGCAATCATGGTGCCCATTGATAGATGATATCCTGTCTTGGAATAAAGACAATAGGGGGACTAGCATTGAGTCATAGTGGGTAAAGCTTCCACCTGTGACACCAGCATCCTGTGTAGGCACCTGTTCATGTTCTAGCTGCCCAACTTCTGATCCAGCTCCCTGCTAATGGCCTGGAAAAGCAATAGAGGATGGCTTAAGTCCTTGGGTCCCTGCACCCATGTGGGAGACCCAAATGAAGCTCCTGGCTTTGTCCAGGTCTACCTGTGACTGTTGTGGTCACCTGGGGAAGTGAACAAATAGATGGAAAAGTCTCTCTCTCTCTCTCCCCTCTCCTACTTCCCTCCCTTCTTTCCTCTGTCTCTCTCTCTCTCTCTCTGTGCTTAATTCTTTATAATTCCAACGTTCCAAATAAATAAACAAATCTTATTTAAAATAAAAAAGACAGTAGGGCTCAGAGAAAGAGTGCAGTGTACCAAAGGACCACAGCCAAGATGTGTTAAAGTAAAAATTAACATGTGAGCAAATGGCCATCTCTTGGTGAAGGGCTGTGAGTGGGAGGCTCAGCACAGCCAGAGAGATATCTGTTGTGGTGTCTCCCAGGAGCATCCCATCATCCCATGGAGAAGGGGAGGCCTGGCTTGATCCATCTTTGTGTCCTTAGCCCCTTGCCCAGGACAGTCAGTACTGGGAAGGAGTGGACTCTCTGGGGCAATATTGTGATCTCTGAATATGAGGAAGCCTGGCTGTGGGGCAGCAGGAGGACTCAGATGTGCCTACTCTAAGCTGGGAGCACTTGATGTTCCCCTGCTGGCTCTCATATTTCCACCCATCATGGGAGACATGGGTTTCAAGCCAAAGGAGGTGAGGTGACATGCCCAAGCTCAGTGGGCGAGTGGAGAGTGTCACATGCAGGCATGGATTCCAGACCTCCCACCTCTGTTGGCCAAGCCCCAAGCAGAATTCCTACCCCCAGCAGTACTTCCTCATCACATGTACCAGGGGCTTTCCCTCAGGAGCTTCCCCTTCCCCAGGCACTTCCCAATTGGCCCTTCCCTGGGGCACCGGTGCCATGGGGACAGCCCGGATCTGGATCCAGGTGGGGCTGATTCCTGCCCAGACCTGCCTTAGTTGCCCTGCGTCCCAGGGGAGATCTCCCCACTTAGTGTTTTCCCTGCTACAGGGCGGATGTTCTACAGAGCTCCTGTGATGCCCATTCCCTGTGTGGCTCTGATTACGAGTGCCTTCCCCTTCCTCCTGTTTGTGGGTTGGAGTGCTCCATTCATTCAGGTCTGGCCAAGCTCTTGGTGTGCCTAGTGGATGGAAAGAAATCCAGACTTGAGACCGACTATGTGCAAGGGAAGGTGGCTGCGTGGTCTCACAATCCCTACCCCACCATGCAAGCTGTTGCAGGAACTAACTAAGCTGGCTGGCACTGCAGGCACTTGAAGCCCCAAGCTCTCCCTCTCATCTGTAAAACAGGGATAATCACCCCTCTGTGTGAAGCATTGAGGAACAAATGTGCTTGGGTCTGCAAAGGGTCTAGCCGGAGGCAAACTGCACATGGCCTGAACTGCAGCCTTCCTCATCTTCACTGCAGGGGCCTGACCCACCTCTGCTGGGGACCCCTGGCCTGACCTGTCTGGGGCTGCTGAATCTTAAAAGTGCTTGCTTCCTGCAAGGATTAGCTCAAGGCTTGGCTCCAGGCTTAACCTCTCTGCCATCTCTATGCCCACCCACTTGCGGACCTTGCAGCCACTCCCAGTGGCGGTGTAGCAGACAGTGAACACTTGTGTTGCTATGCGTCCCCTCTGAGAGCTGGTAAAGACACAGTGAATTTGCGGGGAGAGAATGCTGGGCCTGCATCTCTGCTGCACAGAGGGCTGAGTAACATCAAGAGTCACAAAGGGGTGGCCCCAGTGATTGCACCTAGCTTTCCTGTTCTCACACCAGCCTCTCTCCCTGCACCAGCCTGACTCTGCAGGTGTACACGTAATAGGGCATCTCAGGAAGAGTGAAATGCATGGTTTTGGAATCCCCATGTGGCACTCTGAACAGATGGTTGCTGTGCTGGTAGACAGGGTGATTCTGTTGGGACGCACAGTGTGTTGGAGTCCTGGCACTGCCCCCTTGCTGTGTCACTTTGGGCAAGTCACTTCACCTCTCTGGGCACCAAAGCTCATGGACAAAAGAGATTTTGTGTCAGAATGAAAGCTCAGCACATTTTTAGTTCAGAGATAGTATGCATTTCTTTGTAGCTCATATAGTCTCTGTCACAGCTGCCAAACTGCCACCATTGCACAAAAGCAGCCAGAGACAATACATAAAGAAGTGAATCGGCCGGGTAAACTTTGTTTACGGAACAGGTTTGTCTGCTGGATTTGCCTGTGGGTTGCAATTTGCCAACCCCTGAACTCGAGAATGTCTTCGTGTTCTTCCAGCCTTTGCTATTCTAGGATTCTGTAGCAGCAGTTGGTCCATGGTGGGAGCTAGAACCCAAGCTGTGGATTAATCACCAGTCTGCTTTGATGCTGGTCAAGAAATTAGCATCTGTCGATTTCTAATGTGGTTGCATCCCGTGAGGGAGCTAGAGGGAAATTTCAATCTTTGGTAACCAGTTCTGTTTTCTTCTTTGTAGAATGCGGAGATGTATAAACTATCTTCACAGCAATTCCATGAGGCGGCTTCGAAAGCGGAGAGCAAGATAAAGTAAGAATTTGCTCGTTCTTCTCTGTAAACTTGGCCCGTATTTGTAAAAATTCCCACATGTGGCTCGAAACCTGCCACCACCTGCCTAATTTCAAATTTCTCTAATAACACAGACAACCATCTGTTCCTCAGCTCTCTCACCTGGATCCGAGGTAGCCATTGGTCATCTGTAATTGGCCAAATTAGCACTCAGCGCCTCCCGAGCTCCTTGGCAGATTGGAGCAGAGCTGAAGAGAACTCCCGGGGTTTTCAGCCCCTGCTGTCTGCTAAGCAGGGGCTGTTGTCTTCATTGTCCAGCTAGGCGAGGAGCTGGCCAACCAGTCCCAAAGGAAGTGCTGCTTGGGCCTCCTCCTCTCTGGTTTGTGTAGGTGTCCCGCGGTTGGAGAGGAACCTTCTGAGTGCCTGGCACATGCAATGTACTTCTTGTGTACAATGCTGAAGGTGGCCTACACTTGACTAAGTAGCTCTGCTCAGCTCAGGGTACAGTCCCTGCAGGAGTAGGAGAGCCCTGGGGAAGGAGAGCTAAACCTTGTGAATTCTTTGGGTGAAGATGCTCTCAGTGCACCTGGGAGACCTTCAGGACTTATCTCACCAATTCCTGCCACTCCTTCAATGGGTCTCTCCCTCTCAAGAGTGAATCAAGATAATCCACCAGGCAAACCCATCTCAGGAATAAATGGTGAGCCCTGGATCCAGCACCATGGGAAGAAAATGGCAGAGAGAGAGAGATGTAGGTTACCAGGAGAGGATGAGGTGCCCATGAACATGACCGCCATAGAGGACTGTGTGAGGCATCAGGAGGCAGTGGGTGATGGATACAGTTGAGAAGCTGCAGGTGAATAGTGGAGGCAGCAGCATAGGAATTTTACCCATGAGCCTGAAACACCACAGCTGAGGGATCCTGCCAGCCTGTGGCAGAACAGATGAAAGATTAGGTCTGGGGAGGAGTGAATAATCATCTTGGTATTTTGAGTCGTAGAGCAGTGCCAGAAACCTATTCCAGCAGGTGGATGGAGACAGGGACAGGTATTGAGTGGAAACAGCAGCCCCGCATGGCTTGGGTACAAGTGAGCACCTTTGGCCTGCATGGACCGCATAGAATGTAGGGGGCAGCTGCCCTGCTGTTGTGTGTACCACCCCACTCGCAGATCCCAGCCGCACTGGCACACACCTGTGCAGGCTATTCCTGAACAACGGAAGGGTCCCTCCCTGTATGTGTGGTCCCTGTAGGGCTGAGAATACACAAGATTTCCAGTTGGTGAGAGGAGACATGGCTGCGTGGCAGCCACCACAGTAATGTGATCCCAGGATGGATCCCTCACACAGTCCCTTCTGCCAAAGAGAAGAAACTCGTGGGAGGGGGGAGGTCAGTGAGAACTGCACTTTGTCACCTGTGTTAGAGAGCTTGACCTCACTGTCATGGCGCTCCTCGCTCTCAAAAGGGTTGATGGAGGAGAGTATGAGTGCGTTGTTAATTCCCATGAAGTGTAGGGGGTTTTGTTTGCTTGCAGCATCCCTTGATAATAATTACTACCATTTACTAAGCATATTATGAAGTGGTGGATCCTCTGCCAGGCCCTTCAACCATAGCCTGCTGTTTGCTCGCGTTTGTTCCATCTCACAGCTCAGAGCTCAGGCTGGAAAGTCAGTGAATCTCCACTTAGTCTGTGACCACAGCTGGTTGTGCGGCAAGGCTTGGGGTCAAGCTCAGTTCACACTGCTTTGGACCCACATTCCTCATTTGTTCCCTCCCTTTCTCTCTTAAAAAAATATTTATGTATTTGAAGGGCACAAAGAGGGGCAGAGGTAGATTTCCAATCGTCTGGCTCACGCCCCACACTGTCCCTAGCAGCCTGGAATTCCCCACACAGGTAGCAGGGACCCAAGCAGCTGAGGCATCATCTGCTTTTCCAGGACACATTGGCCAGGGGCTCAGCTGCAAGCAAAGTAGTTGGGACTCGAACTGGTGCCCCAGGATGGAATGTTAGTGTCACAAGTAATGGCTTACTGTGCTGCACCAGAATTCCCCCCTCCACCTTATTTGATTTTGCACCATTGCTGTCCCTTGAAAATCCTCTGTAAATGAGAGATGAGCAGCAGGACAAGATGCTAAGAATGTACCTGGGTTGTGGAGTCAGACTAAGGCTCAGCTGTGGGCCCAGATGCTTTCTGATTCTGTGCTCTAGGACAATCACCTCTGGGAGCCTTGATTTTTCTCAACTACAATATCAGACACCCTCTTTAATGCTTTGAGTGGTGATTAAGCAGGCTTCCACCTAGGAAGAGGCCTGGGAACACTCCCACTTGTAACAGTTTGCTAAGGGCTGACTGTGCCCCTCCGCAACTCAGACATTGAAGCCTCATCTCCAATGTAATAGTGTCAGGAGGGGTGGAACCCTGGAGAATGGAACTAGCGTCCCTATAATGGGAACCTCAGAGAGCTTCCTGCCCTTTTACCTGTAAGATTGCAGATGGCAGGCACTGTCCATGAGCCAGGAAGCAAAACCTTACGACATGCCAAACATGCCAGCATTCTGGTCTCTAACTTCGCAGCCTCCAGAACCGTGAGAGAGAAGCGGCTGTTATTTATAAGCCGCCCAGGCTGCGTTCTTCTGCTGCAGCAGCCTGAACAGACTAATACACTGTTATTAATAGTGGCAATCACTTGAATCACTTTCACAGCACCTTGCTTGGTATACAGTGGAACAGATTTGATAAGTAAATCGGGTTTACAAAACACTTTGTCTTTCCCCAAATGGGGTAAACAGGAAGTGACATAAAGTTAGAAATTATTTATTTTGAACACCAAGCAGGGAAAAAAATCTTGGGGAGATTTCTTGGATTAGCAAATGGTTGTAAATTGCCTCATAAATGCCATGGAAATAAATGCCAGCAGCTGACAGCCTGGGATGTTGAGGAGTTTTCTTCTAGGGTAGCAGAGCATCTTTCAATAGCTCTGAGTAAACTAAATGGCTACTTGAGTGATAAGCTAGATGCCCATGAGTTCATTCATTCATAAATCATGCATACATAATACATCTGCTGTTTGCCTGGCACTGTGCTAGGCCCTGGGATTACAATACAGTGATAAACAAGACAGCTCAGCCAGCAAGAGATTTGGCAAATGACAAACCGTATTTTTAGGATAGTTGCACATTTATTGATTATGATGCTGAGTGCTATGAAAGAAAAGAGTTTGAACTTTGAAGTTCAGGTCAGAGGAGACTAACCTCGCCTTGGGCTTTGGAGAAACGTACTGTAAGGAAATGACGTTTAAACTGGCTCCAGCAGCCTCAGCATGTGCCTGGTCCCTGAGGCTAGAATTCAGGTTGCCTAAGGAGTGAAGAGAAAGCAAATACGCCTGGGAGAGTAAGGAGTGGAAAGACACAAACCAAGGTGGAACTTTGAGAGGCCATGAGGAACCAGACTGTGCCACTTTGTACCATATGACAGATTTTAATTTTATGCTATTATTTACTACTTTATATCTTTTCTGATATGTTCATGTAATGCTACAATTTTCTCTATAGACAGAGAATTAGCTATATCTTAACACATTAGCTAAGTGTTGATGTATAAAACTACTTCAAAAAGTTTGTGGAAGGGCCCGGCACTGTGACCTAGGGGCTTAAGTCCTCGCCTTGAACACGCCAAGATCCCATATGTGCACCGGTTCTAGTCCTGGCAGCTTCACTTCCTGTCCAGCTCTCTGCTTGTGGCCTGGGAAAGCAATTAAGGACTGCCCAAAGCCTTGGGTTCCTGCACTCGAGTGGGGACCTGGAGAAGGTTCCTGGCTCCTGGCTTCGGATCAGTACAGCACCAGCCATTGTTGTCACTTGGGGAGTGAATCATGGGATGGAAGATCTTGCTCTCTGTCTCTCCTCCTCTTTGCATATCTCTGAGTTTGCAATAAAAATAAATATTTTTTAAAATGTTTGTGTAAAACTGAAATTGAAAAGATATTTTGGTGCAAAAAAACTTGAAATCCATGCTTTTTTCATTGTAAACATATTCATGAATTTTTTGAAGATGTTTCATCAGTATATATTTCAAAATTTTTCATCAAAATTAATGTATCTGGGGTATGGTGGCATAGCACATTAAACCTCCACCTATAGTGCCTGCATCACATATGGGCATTAGTTCAATTCCTAGCTGCTCCTTTAAAAAAAAAAAAAAAAGGAAAGACAGATTTACAGGGATAAAGATCCTCTGTCCGCTGGTTCATTCCCCGAAACAGGTGCAACAGCCAGAGCTGAACCGATCCAAATCCAGGAGCCAGGAGCTTCTTCCGGATCTCACACATGGGTACAGGGTCCCAAGGCTTTGGGCAGTTCTCCACTGCTTTTCCAGGCTACAAGCAGAGAGCTGGGTGGGAAGTGGAGCAGCCTGCACACGAACTGGTGCCCACATGGGATCCCTGCACATGCAAGATGGAGATTTAGCCACTTAGCCATTGCACCAGGCCCGGCTGCTTCATTTTTGATCCAGCATCTTACTAATGTGCTGAGGAAAGTGATCCAAGTACTTGGGCCCCTGCCATCCATATAGAAGACCCCGATTTCCCTGCCCTAGCCATCATGACCATCTGAGCAGTTGAACCAATAGCAGTGAAGTCTCTCTCTTTCCCTTTATGTCAGTCTGCCTTTCAAACAAACAAATCAGTAAGAGCATACCTTTTCATTTGATTTTCCACAAACTTTTGAAATAGCCATGTATATTTTCATTATAATTCAGGTCAAACTTTTTTTTTTTATTCTGATTGTTGTGTCAGATTATTTCAAAGTGTATTGCCTGATTTTCAAATGTCTAATTTTGCCTTAGTCAGTGAACACATTTTAAATTCTCTGAACATTTTTTGCAGCTCGATTGAGGCCTCACTGAGTGATTTGTTTTGGTGAAGTGTCCACAAGCGCTGAGAGAGGACATGGGTTCTGTCAGTGGCCGCGGGCTCTGGGTTTGTCAGCTAGTTTCAGGTGCTCTGTCACGTTCAGGTTCTC